TATATTGTTGTTATTATGGGAATCCTGTTTTCGCAAAGTTTATAAAACTAGTAGTCAGTATAGTAGTACATAGGTATCTATACTAGGTATTTCTGGTAGGTAATCGTTTGAGTCTTGTATAATTAAAGTATGATATATAATTAGTAGATGCATAAAATAAAAGGTACAACACGCAATTGCGCACTTTTTACCTTTTTATCTGCAAAAAATTGCAACACAATTGCGCACCAAATAAGTTTATGTACGAAAATGGAATAGTACAAATTGTCTTTTTTGATTTTATGTAAGAGCATATTTTAAATTACGATTTTACATCCATAATAATATATCAATACACCAGGGTCCAGGAGATACATAATTGGTTATGATAAACCTAAGTTACTGGTAATATTATTTCCAAATAAACACGCATTGTTGATGACTTTTTTTGGTATAATACCAAGAGCGAAAAAACTTTTTGATCAATTTATTTCCGATTTTTAATTGAATTCTTTACAAAGTTAGTGCATTGAATTTTTCTGAACCAACTTTGAACTTTTCATACATTTACTTTTTTCGGTGTGCTATCGTGTTGCATTTTTATTTTCAGATAAAAAAGTAAAAAAGTGCGTAATAAGCATAGCACGAAAAATAAATTATAACACCTATATAACAAATTATACCAAAACTATAATTTACTCTTATTGGATTCGATATAGATACTATAAGTGTTTGTTCATTTGTTGTCACTGAAGCCTGCCCAAAATGTACACATATTATAAACTCATTACCCATAATATATAGTTATATATAGGCTTAGGGACTTCTAGAATTTGCATACTTTTGTTAATTCTTGTTAAAAATAGTAGAATGCGAAATAAATTCATTTATTTGTGCCATGATATCAGATCTAAAATTTGAATGCGCATATTTTTGCATATTTGATAGATTTTGCAGGAAAGTGCTTATTTTAAAATTGTTATGCTTATTTTGCATATTTTGACAATTTTTTCAAATTTCAAATTAAAAACTGGTAGATACATCAATTAATGATATAAGTGATATTCAGGGGCGGATTGGCGAATTTTTTCGGCCCGGGAAATATGGATCAAACCGGCCCTGCACCGCAAAGGTAACCCCCCACCAAAAAACAAATTGTCATCATTTTACTCACATTTCAAAATTTGTTTAGTTTCACCCATAAATTAGTAAAATATATAATAGGTACCTATAATTAAAGTTATAACAGTTTAGGGTTAGTCAGATAAGGTTAACCTGTTCAGACTGTTCTAACTCGAACTTGAAGTTTGATCTTATTACATTTTAGATTATGAGCGAAGTGATGAATGTATTGATTTTACAATGATTTGTTTTTTTTTAATTTTTTAATTTTAATTTAATTTTTTATTTTTGCGTCTGTCATCAAATTTTAGGACAGTAAAAATAGTAAATACTTAGATTTTCTTCAACTAGATTCACTTTTCTGATAGGAAAGTTAATCTAGTTGGTACTTTGGGGGGTCAAAAATAAAAATGTCCTTGTGGTTTAAGGTTTTCAAAAGTGCCGAGAAAAACAAAAGAAAAATTAAGTAAATCGGGGATTTTTTACGCAAAATCTGTTTTCGAGAAAATCGATTTTGATTTTTGAAGCAACTCCAAAATAAATATGATTATATAGGTACACGAAATTTTTACCAAATGTTTATATTAGTATTTTCTATACATCATAACATTTTGACTTACTTTGAGCTGTTTACGGACATTTTCACTTTTTTTTTCTACAAATATCAATAAAATTTTATTTGTTGGTTAAAAAGCTTGAAAATGTAATAAAAAGCTCCTAGTATATTGTTTCAAAGGCAGATGAAAAAAATTAAAAATCCAGTCACAATTTTTTTCTATAAGCATTTAAAGTTCAAATATTGACAAAATACGTAACATTGACGAAAGTTTGCAAATTATTTTGAGTTATAAATTCGTAAACAAATTTTAATACAAAATTCCTCATAAGTTTGCCTACCTTTATCAAAAAAAAAATGTCAACAAGAAAGTCAAATTATATTTTTATGACCTTCTGAAATTTGACATTTGATATTCACTCGATTTCTCATGTAATGATTTTCTTATTTTGTTGTGATTAAAAAACGAATGACTGTAAAATGTAGATACTTGAAAATTTCACTGAATATTTATATTAGCATTTTGTATACACCATACAATTTTGAAAATAATTATCTCTTTTTGATGTTTTAACGGACCATTTCAAATTTTAATTTTTTTAGTTTTTTTTTCTATAAATACCAATAAAATTGTATTTGTTGGGCCAAAAAGCCTGAAAATTGAATACAAGGCTCCTGATATATTGTTACAATATCAGTTGAAAAATATTAAATATACATAGCCATACATTTTTTTTATAAGCAATTAAAGCTCGAATTTTGACAAGATTTATCAAAATTTAATAATTATTTTGTTGTTAAAAATTTATAAAATGTTCAACATGTATAGCTATAGCCTATAAGGATTAAAAATTTAAAACAATTTTAAAGGTAAATAGGTTCCATTAACCGTTTTTTCTTTTTTTCTCGTACCTTTTCAGCTCCACCCTTCTTTCGTTTTTCACCAGCATCACACATAATTTAAATCGCAAAGTTTAATTGAATTTGTATACTAAACACAATTCTGTAAGTACAGTTCTTCGTTTGTGTAAAGAGTTCAAAATAAAAAAAAAATACAAATAATGATAAGAGAAGGTTATTAATGTTATCAGTGTTATCACGTAACTAAATTCTACCATAGAGTATAAAATATAAATACTAAAATACCAATACCACAGATTTTTAAATAATACATTAGCATGAATTGGAGGGATAATAGTGTAAATACCAAAATTCCTACTATGAATTGCAATAGTTTAAGATATTGAAAATAATACCTTCGTAGGTATTTGATTTTTAATATATTTTATGCTTAATTTATAAAAAATTAATTTTTTTTGTAATTATATTGTAATAATTATAGCGGCCCTGCAGGCCCTCACAAGAACCGGCCCATCGGGAAGATTCCCGATTTCCCGATAGGCCAATCCGCCCCTGGTGATATTATACATATTTGAACCGATCGAAAAAAAATGTATTAATACTTCCAGTAATATGCTATCTACAAACTACCATTCATAATTTTTTTGTAGTTATAAATAATCCTATAAGCTTGTATAGATCGATATCGACCGATAGGTGATAGCCGTTAATAATTTTTATTTTATTAAATAATTTCGATTATTTGTTCAGTGTTCAGTTCAGTCGATTATTATATGTCTCACGTGCTTTCTCACTAGTGTAGATATACGTAATAAGTTGGTAATCAAAATAGACATCAATAATTTATTGACAATAAACTTAAAGTATAATTGTTGAAATGCTGAAAATACAAAAGTAAAAGTTACAAAGTTATGTTTCAGAATTTAAAGACACATTTTCGTCTGACGGCAGTGTTTTGTTTTGTGAATTTGCCCGTATATAGTTATATGACTTATATGTTATATATTATTATAACTGTCGTACTAAAATATCTTTCGATATGAATAAAAAAATTAACTAGCTCGGTCGTCGCACGATTTCCCGGCGGACTACGCTCGAGTTAATTGGCTCCGACTACGGGACCTCGAAAACCGATTTTTTTCTCTATATATAATTTTTAATTATCACTGGTTATACATACTTTCTGGTGACGCAAATGCGACGTCCGCGTACACATAGCGAAATACATACGAGTATACGACGACGTGTTATATTATTATTGTACTATATATGTAAGTAGACTTGTACTTTGTAATAAGTTTACAGTCGTCTCTGCGTTTCGATAAAATTTAAATAAAAAAATTTAACTGTGGAGTTAGTGCAGTTTAATAATTAGTTAAGGCGTAGAGTAAGAGTATAATCGATTTTGAACAGCTATTTCATATCCTAAAATTGCAGAAAGAAATCTGAACATCACGTTTAATGGGATGGCCATTTGAGGTAAACATTATTAGGTAAGAAATATTTTACAAAAATCGCATTCATTTTGGACTTTTGTGTAACGCGTAAGAGTGATAATATTTTTAATTTTATCAGTTCCGATTCAATCTAAAAAGTTACTGCTTCAAAGCAATTTGTAACTTTTTACAAAATTTTAAATTTGTTAAATCTCAGTTCATCTGTTTCATTTTAACATATTTTTTGAATTGAGTTCAACCCGTTACCCGTATAAACAAACAAATAAATAAACCTATATTATATTATTATAACAGGTATCTTTTTACACTCGCCTGGTTATACTGTAATTTCTATTAAAAAACAGACTAGTTAAGGTTGCCTTATATTTATATATGTAGTATATATACCTAACTACTTATCATTCGAAAAAAAAACATCCCTCGTCGGACTATGTGCATAATGTGCTGCACGTATTGTATATATCTTGCCCATATAGGCACACTACTTGTTATAAACTCTTTTGAAATTATGCATTTTAAATTTTTATATAAGTATTTAAATACATACAAAAAACATTTCAAATACTTTAAATGCTTGCAGGGTATGAGGGCACTTCAAAACCGGAAGTTTTGCTAGTAACTTTTATTTTATGGTATATAGGTGGATGCATACATTTTTTTTAATATAACTCGATGGTATAATTGTAAAGTGGAGACAAATAAGTCGTCGAACGAGTCCCGAAAGAAATCGGCTTAAAAGTTTATTTTGCTTTATAGCTTTTAGTTGTTTGTACCTTCAAATGCTTTTTTCCCGATAAAACGTACCTGTTAATTTTAAATTGGACTTATAGGTATAGTATAACTACAGTAAAATTTTACCTATATTTAATATAATTCCCACACGGTATTCCGCTGCAGCATTATAATATAATAATGGTATTAGTATACCTTCAAGAGCGTGTTATTGCTACAACAAGCGGCCGCGCACGCGCAAGCCGTCGCCGTCTCCCCCGCGGCGCAGTGATTGATTTTCGCGCCACCGGCCGATGTTGTCGCGGCGGCGTCCACATCGCTCCCAAGTTTCACGCGGCGCGCACGGCGACTGCACCATGTTCTCCTCCGAAGGCATGACGTGCCCTCCGAACTCCGACGTGGCCGCGGCTTGCGGTCACCGGCGATGGTCCAGCGGCTTGATCGGTTGCGCGCTTCTCGCTTCCGAAGCGGCGGCCCACGTTGCCAGGCTGTGCCGGTCCAACCCGCGACTGCTGTCCATGTTGGTCCAGGAGAAGTGTGGCGACGACGCCAATAGCAGTCGGTTCGCGCACGACTTCAAGACGCTGGCCGACGTGCTGGTGCAGCGAGTGGTCTCCAAACGCATCGGAAGACAGGTACTTATATGACGGATAATACGTGCAGCAGATCAGCTGGAGTGCAGTCGCGTTTTTGACGCTCGCGACTGCAGTTGCAGTTGAACCACTTCGGGTGCATAACGCATAATATTATGATATTATTATTATTAATATTGTCACCTTCACGTGGAAGATATGTGACACCTGTCGGAAACCTCTGGTCTGTGACACGCGCCTACCGTGCATAATATATTTACACGTGCAGGGCACGTGTGCTGTTTTGATTTAGGGCTCGGATCTATATTACGTATAAACATATAAGATAACCATAACAGTAATCTGAAACTGCAACGACGATATCATAATATTATGCCTAAGAACGCGCTTAAAAGCATTATAAACATTGCGTTAAGTTAACACGCATAATTCAAAAATACAATTTAACTTTAAAACCTCATAATTTATAACATGTTAAAAAGTATAATTAAATCTATAGTCATAGAGACACTGTAGACACAGAACCTATAGTATAAAAACCTTTAAAATGCACGAACAATGAAACGATAATACTACATAATATTAATAATAATATGATTGTAATTTCTTATACTAATATTGATTAGACAAATACAATATAATTAGGATTTGGCAGAAAATCATAAAAAAACAATCGATTCTCTTAAATATTGTTTAATTACCACCAACCATTACCAAATAAAAATGTTATCGTTTTGATTATTTTCCGGATTTAAATGCCCTAATAACTATAAAAGTGTTCATTAAAAAATAATCCGAAAATACTTTTACAACACAATAATACCATTGAAAAATTACCAAAATATTTTCTATAAGCACTTAATTATGCAACCGATAGGAAAACGATGGTTTAACTTTCTGCATTTTCAACACTTTACCTCAACTAAACTGAGTATTATTAATAATACAAAAACTAAATAGGTACCTACCATACTCAGGCTTGCACAATAGGCTTGCACAATCAATACTTATACTGGAAATAAATGCTATTGCTATGAAGTATAATATATCCAACAGACCTATTAGTTGTTATTGATTTGTTTGAGTCCCAGATGTAGGACAACACATCCAATAATTGCTGAAAATAGATAAAGAAGTTTTCGCTTTCACAGTATAGAATGATTGACATGGGTAAAACACTATTGAGCATAGAATATTTCATACGACGTTGATATACATTCATGTTGCTTTTGTAATTTATTATTTCGCGTATTATTACACCAATTATTATGATACCCAATTAACACGAGCCATAAGTCGAGTGTATATTGTGTATGAGTAAACATTAGTTTTATCCATAATACTCACCGTTATACACGTAACTTTTAAACATTTAATACTAGTGAAACATTTAGAATGATCGTTTAAAGTTATTAAGATAATAGATAAGTAGGTAACTGTTCCAAAATTATTATAGAAATAATTCAGTTTATATAGTTCGAATGTTCGATCACCTATTATAGTCGCGTCACATGGTGCGTTAAAAAATGTTTAGTTTTCAATTTTTAATAAATAATGTAACAATTATTCTATCGGAATTAGGCTAAGCATTTTCCCTAGGTAGTGAATTTATACAAATATATTCTAAGGTTTAGATAAACGTATGCGATTGAAACTTCTACAGCAGTACAACTGCACATTCACGCTTAAAACTAATCTGAGAAAATAGAAATATTATAATTTCTGTGAGAAAATTGCAAGAGAAAGAGCAGAAGAATGCATTTCCACACAGTCAATTAAAATTATTGGAACCGAACTTTTAAAGTCATCTTTACCTATAGAACAATGTTTTAACGTCTGTTCATCAAAATGTAAGAAATGTACGAAAATCAATGTATGATGAACCATGAACGGAAGCAAACCTATCCAAAATTACCAACTTCTGTGGATGAAGCAATGTTTTATAAATTAAGTTATTTACAAAAGAAGAATGTTTTAATATAAGGGTCAACAATTAATTTACATTCTGATAGATGATCATTTTGTACGTTTAACTACGGAAAAAACTCTGCAATTCATGACCAATTATTGTGCTGTGTATTTTGGCGACTGTAGATTTAAGTATGCCCAAAAATATTTTATTCAACTATACACAATCTAAGGGCATACAAATGTACAGATATCGAGAGTTGTATTGAATACATATAAGGATATTGTTTGTATAGTAAAATAATTAAACAATTTAGGTATAAATATATTTCCGGACTCTATAATAGACAATAGTGATACTATGTATAGCTGGTCATGTATATTATTATTAATATTATAATAAATAATAATATGTATATTATAATAAATACTCTGCACGAGGCGGGATCGCAGTCCCTGCTCCTCCACGTAATATACATGAAATTACAGGTATTTTAATAATAATCAATACCTGAAAAAATAAACCTTTAATATTCTGTTATAGACTATAATAGTGCATATTATGCGTATATTATATAACTGCATTATGGCTACGTAAGTACATTATGGCTTTTACTGTACGGGTATTGGCTAGGGATATAAGGCCAGTAAGTAAAGCTTATTACCTTAACGTGCGCCGATATAAGTGTAATGAGAATATTATAATGTGTATAAGAGGAAAATAGATTTACGTTTCTGGCACAATATACAATATACATATTATAATATTGTTGGAGATTATTAGATCGATAACTCTATGTGTTGCAGGCAATCTTTCCTCTGGACTCTGACAATACTCATAATATGTTTTTCGTTAAAATATTCAACAGTACCTACCTATAGGTATTATATACCGATGAATAATAAAAACATGATTTGCATTACGCGTCATCTTTATATAACACTATATAGAATTTACATTTGTATGAAAAAGTTGTAAATGCCGGTCAATTCACATACCTAAATAGTATTTTGTATTTTCATAAAATATTATATTAGGTTTTCGTGTATTAAATTAGTCATAATATTACCTCATTATTTCTTGCGAAAATAATATGACACTGCACTCATGTATGATGTGTTGTTTTCTTTCGAAATCCGTTTTTCATCGATATATTGGCCAGAATTTGGATTGCAATTTTCAAGTGCGCGTAGTATTGTATATAATTATAAACGGCAAAAACGTATTATAGCGAAACTGTATTAGTTTTATTTAGCTGGCATTATATTTAAGTAGATAGTGTTACCTAAGAATTACGTCAGTAATTCGTATCGACTTCCGGACACATGAGATAGGATGATAAAAGAGCTACATTTTAAAACCAACTGATTAGGTAATGTTTTTTTTAAAATTTAAATTAAAAAAGATGTCCGTAATCGTAGTTCCATATACCAACAGTATAATAGGTTAGGTTAGGTTAGGCTATAAGTTCTAATACACTTCCAGAGGTTTGAGTAAGCAATATTATAAAATTAAATATTAATTTTTACCAGAGTACATACAAAATTACTGTCTATATACTTCAATTGTTGCTAAAAATATTGACGTATACTATTGTACTATTATTTGTACTATTGTGCTAATATATATAATATAAAATATTATTAGCAGGTACGTACCTATCCTCTATTGTGCAGTGTAGTTATTTTATAATTTGTTACCGACCACTTCATATCAATGTCAATTTATTATTTTAAGTATAATTTTGATTTCCCATTTACCAGTATCTAATATTAACTATTATTCAGGCCATACAATAAAACGTGATCAGCTATCAAGCATATAATTGATAAATTGTATAATTTTTTTATTATTATATTTATTATATTATGTTTAAAATAATAAATTGTTTCTACATACCTATATCATCATTTATACATGTTCTTGAAAGTTTGATAAAATATGTTTACATTATATACATAATAATATATATTGTAACTAGTTGTTCCATGTTATGCGTTACATAAACAGTATCGATTATTAGAGACTTTTTAGTGAGTGGTGTCAATGGATAAAGAATTAATAAATAAAATATAACGGGTTTTGTGTGCAGTACCTATCTAATATTATTATTCTTCGTCGTGGCAGTTTTTGGAGTCCTGTAACAGCCGTCTGTCTTTTGTGTTGGTTTCAAGTCCCGTATATACCTAATATATACCTAACCTAACCCAACCTTATAGCAGTACTTACCTACTTTTGATGTTTTTAGTTTTGGGTGAAGATTTTAAAACTTGGTACTAAACTATTCCTCGTGTACCATAATGGAGCCTTGTGAAAGTATCCATAGGAATCATATACATTTTAATTACAGTTTATAGTTTCCAGAACTCGAAGGGAACGTGTATGGCGAAGAAAACGATACAATACAAAACAATAAAGGTCAAGACGTCACCATACAAGTCGGAGAAACGGTAGAAGAGACGTTGCAGTGTTTGACGAAAGCTCTGGGTGACGATTTGGACTCGGCCAAGAGCTTAGCCGAAGCTGCTCACAAGGAGTTCGAATCGAAAGATCTCAACGTCGACTGTTATCCGGCCGAAGAGGAAAATCTCGATTTGGAGAAAATCGGAATATGGATCGATCCCATTGGTAATTCATATATTATAATTATGTTTATGTTACATTATGCCATATTATATAGAGTAACAGAAATTATGTCATTGTCACTAGTCGATTTTTGTAACAAAAAATGTTATCACTCTCAACGCGTTGGCCGCCGATGATGGACAACAATAATCGTTTAAACAATATTCAATAGGTATTGGAAGTATAAATGTTAACGATAATGTATTAATAGCCGTCACGTGTTCAGATAATATTTATATTTGAATAATTAGTTCGTTTTTTAAAATTGTTATTGCCTAGGTATATATTAGGTATATATTACCTAGATTTATTAAATTTCTTATAGGTACCAGATACGAGCTTATATGGCTCAGTTGGTATTCGGATCAGCTATTATTAATGTAATTTATTGTCATTATTTAATTATATAGGAATTAATATAGTGATAGTGGTATAGGTGTAACTCTAAAAAAAACTTACCGTAGGTACATACAATTTTGGACTGGTACTTCATATATTACGATAAAAATAACACAATAACAGTGTTACTAAGCTGTGCAGTATATATTATATACTTATAACATTTTTCACGCGAAACACCGAGCAGAATTAGCTTATAATAATATATAAAATTTAAGTAAATCGCTTCGGTAGTTATTCAATTACTAAATAACTATCTGAATATAAATAAAACATACGGGCGAATACATTACGTCCGCATTACAAAACAACTTTACGCAAAAAAAAAAAGAAGAAGATCAATAACAAATTAATATTATTATGTAGGTACCTAATATAATAACACTGTAAATGTTTACTAGACACGTACTTCTGTATGTTATTATAGATTCAACAAACGAATATATAAATGGAAATATCGATACCATAAACGAATACGGATTCCACTCCAGCGGACTTCACTGTGTTACAATCAATATTGGTTTGTTCGACAAGCACAGCGGAAAACCTATTGCCGGTGTCATCAATCAGCCGTTTTTCGAATTCGACGCCGTCAAAGGGTAATGACCGTCGTTTTAATTTGCTGTTGTAAATAGTATATTAATAGTTTTTTTTTTTTTTAAATACACATCATCAATAACCGATTTCTTAATCGTATCAGTGTCTAATAAATATTTTGTTCTAATACAACAATTATTATAATATTTGCTACTGAATTGGCGAAAATCGCTTAGCACCCCGAATCCCGATATTATCACTTATAGTACTACCACCATAATATTTCCATTATAACTACATTTATTAAAAGTTCAAAAACAGATTAAAAAAATGTTGATGCTTAAGCGGGCCCCTGATATTTTTGGGTGATTTGCGCCTATATGTTTGTCAGTATACTTATTATATATATTATATATTCAACCAAGTGAACCATTTGTCATTAAATTGAAAATATTCATCTATTCTTTTGAACTGAACTTCACGTATTTTTGCGTTAATTGTTTAATAGGTACTGGTATTGTTTAATAGGTTTTGTGTTTAAAAACGAACAGTTTGTTTTAACGATGTGACATCACCACTTTATTATTTATTTAAACATCGTAAAATATTAATTTGACATCCTACCTATACTTTGGGTAGGCACCTATTTGAAATTCATATAAAACAAAATAATTTTGATTATTTCAATGGATAATATTTTAAATTATTATTTATTATACTCATCTGCAATGCTGGCAGTATATTTGTATACTATGTCAAATTTAAAACGAATGTTTGTTTTATATTATATTATTAATTGTGAATAATTCACATATAGGTGATACTAATGTAAAATGTAACGTAAATGTATATCTATGAAAATAAAAAATTCTCTGTACAAACGTAATAACGAATCGAGAAACGTCAAAGTGAAACGTCAACAAGACGTATTTTAAGAACTCATTTCATCACGTCTGCGTGTTTGTAGGTGGAGTGGAAGATGTTACTGGGCTTATTGCGACGGACAGAAAAGTTTAAACTCGTTGCCAGAATTCATTAGCTGCAATCAGGTAAAGAAAAAACTCCAATTAGTTATACATTTATAATATTATGCTCACATCGATCGTTAACCCAAAGCGGAATAAACGCCTGTTAAACATACCCATTATAGGTATACGATTACAAATTATTCATAGAACACAATAGTGAGTCGCGAACACTAACAACATAATTATTTGAAAAAAACGTTAAATTTACGTACAGATAATGGCAGATATGATTATTATGAATAACGCGTCTGCAGAAATGTCACGGAATCGGGCCCGAGAGTATTAAATCATTTTTTTCCCCCTCCTCAATAACGCATTAATGATATTGAGAAGTCTAAGTCTGTCACAGGGCTTTGCATTTGAAAAAAATTTCCGTTTTACGTTATTTACAATCATAAAGTTACTCAATTTTTGCGTTTATCGTTATCCAGAATTAAAACGTTACCCAAGTCTTGCGTTTATCGTTATTTAGAATAAAAACGTTATTTTACCCAACATTTTCCAACAATCCAGTACCTAAGTAAATTTACTACTTAACTTTTTTTAACATCGTTACCAGAAAATTATAATTTATTATTTTATTAATATTTAATATTGATATAAATGGTATTCTATATACCTTACACCTAGGTATTTTATATAATTAAGTTGGAAATTTTAACTGAATAAGGTTATAAGCTGAAAATAAAAATAATTAACTAGTTAAGTTAAAAAGTTAAAAAAAAATAACTATAACTTTTTAACAAGTTAATGCCCACTTTTGCATTTTTAGTACATTTTTAGTTGTTGGGTTAGAAATTGTTCTACCCATGATTGCGTTATTTGTTTTAATATGTAGCTAATATAACTAAAACGGATGTTTTAACAACAGTATATACTTTAACATTAACACTCACCAGAAGACCGCAGTAGTACAGACTATACAGACTACAAAGTAGGCAAAGTACAGAGTGAATATAAAATAAGTATCTATACTCTATGCCAGACTATGCCTACTTGTACAGCGGAATTATCGGGGCATCATTAATCATTATTAATAATAATAATAATTATTATACTAGGTATTTGCTATTGGCAATTCAATTTAAAAGTTATCAATAACTCTGAATTTTAAATTTTCAAATAATTTTGTTTCCGTTATTTTTCTATAAATTACGTTTTGCTTTTTTTTTGTTTAATGGTAGGTATATTATATATTTTGTTATTCGTTATGCTTTGTTTTGCGTTTGTTTAATGTTATGTTATGCTTTGTTTAATTATTTTTGATTATCGCTTTCCGATGTAATTACGTTTACAAATTTCAATCGTTATTTGTCAAATATAACGTTATAATCATAACGTTATTATAACGTTTGCAAGCCCTAGTCTAAGATATTATTGTATCAGTCTTTTTTTATTTCAAAACAACGTCTTCTTCAATACGACGTTCACCGTTTTGTATTTGTTTGCCTCTTCGAACTCCTTTATAACGCGTTATGACAGTATACTTTCAACTTTGTATAATATATTCGATATAATTTTCTGTTTCGTTTAGAGACGTTATTCTGGAACTAAAAAGCTAAAACTAAAATAAATCACTTTGCATAAACACTGGGTTGCATAAACAATTTATTACGTTTAATGGTTCACTAAAAATTTAATGGACCAATCTTGGGCAACTAAATCATGTTTAAGGGACCATTAGCTCACTATTGATCCATTAAATGTTTTGCGCAACCCGGCGTCCCGGCATTATACTAGTTAGTAGTTAATATATTACTACTGAAACACGAATTACGTATTTTTAACTTAACACATTCGTTCATATAAGGTTAAATTATATTACATCATCACGTCGCGACCCACTGTTCAAGATTCGGTAATATTAGGGACTGGATATTATCCCAACGTATCCCTCAATCCATCAAGTCTATTGCTTGATCTTGGATTTCCATAGACCTTATACTAAAGTCTACTTAGTTTATTCAATCTCTTAACTATACAACTGGTAAAATCTACTCCCGACACGTCTTCTAGACCACGTGACTTTCTCATAGTACGACTTTTCACCCACTCACGTGCCCTGCATTAATTTCTCCAGTAAATGATTTTGGACGATTACCTACATGACTTAAGCGCACCGCAGACCATGACTCCACTTTTCGCTCTAAGTCGTATGTACATATTATAGGTATTGGTATCTGATAATAATTTGTGTATTGTATCGATCAATCTGTTTATCGGCTGCATCCAAAAGACCCACACTCTAACTGTCCATTGAATAGGTAGCAAAACACCTGCAAGGGTTAAGAAAGGCACATTGTCTTTATTTTTTTTTAATCTCCAGACCTGCATATATGGATTTATTATGAAAACTTAAATGCATTTTGAACGTTGCAGTTTGTCATTCAATATAATGTGTACGCTTATGAATATACCTTAACCTCAATGTTTGTTTTTGGTGGGATTTTCTCGTATTTTGTCGAACAAAATAAAACACGAAATAATAATAATAATGCACTTTATTTGTGAATTGTTTACGTCCGACAGGAGTTGGTGGTGACCAGCAACAGCGAGACGGACGCGGCCAAGGAGGTGCTACGGCGGTCCGGTTACACGGTGGCCACGGCGTCCGGGGCTGGTTACAAGATGCTGTGCGTGGCGCTGGGCGTCGTCAAGTGCTACGCGCTGACCAAGGACTCGACGTACGCGTGGGACACGTGCGCCGCGCACGCAATGCTAGCGTCGCAGGGGGGCACGGCCTGCCACTGCCACACGGCCGACGGGCCACTGACTTATCGGCCCAAGACCGCTGGCGGCGGACGGGCCCACTGCAACGCGGCCGGTGTGATCGCTTCGCGCGACCCGCAAACCGTCGACAGGGTGCACGCGCTCCTGTCACCGCTGCACCTGCACTGCAGCAGCAGTTGATGCGCTTTTGATGCAGCGGTTGCGCCACGACTGCATCTGTGGGCCCCGCGCGCACGTTGTGGTATTAAAACTACTGTACACAAAGATAAATGTTAAATTGCGTAATTAGGCATATACGCGTACAGTGCACTCTCTCTTTCCCGTTTTATTTTTCAGGCTATATCGTTTAGGAAAATCATTATACTGCGGGGCGTCCATCGTTGATGCTGTGAATAATGTGGAAAAATTAAATTATAAAAGCGACATAATCACGGAACACTATACTGTGAAACTACGAATTATTATTTTTTTTTGGTTTTTATAATCTTATTGCGTGCTAGATAACCGCGGTATATTGACGTTACGCATCGGTATAATCCGAATAAGACTTTTCATACTTATTTGATTTATGATGGGCGCAGGCCGTGGTAAAATAAATAGGCACCACGTATGATATTTTATATTAAAATACATTTTTTTTTCTATTTTCAACAGCCATAAAATATAAGTCAAAATATTCCTAACGAAATGTAAAACAAAAGTTTCGCTTATATATAATTATTGTTAGGCGTTTGAATTAGCGGTATTCTATTATCCTTAATTGAAGAAAACAAATGTTAGAGCACCATCATGATAAAATTGTGTTCCGCATTAAAAATAAGTGTCCTAATTTATTACTATCTCGTGACATTTCGTCATAATACAGAATGAACATCACATAATATGCGTATTATACAGTATTTTATATAGTAAGTGCTGTTATATAAAACTATGACAGTATATACAAGTAAATTATTTAGTCGTAAGTAGATAGTCGTAATATTATATTATTATTATTATTATTATTATTATTTCATATTTTAAAGGTACCTAGGTAGTAGGTATTATGCATAGTTTTAAAATTGGAAAAAAATCGTTTTTATAATTAATTATATACAATACAGGGTAATCAAACCATTTTGGAAACAAAAATTAATTAATTCTCATCACTCAACGTTGGTAAGGTTTTTAACCACAGAGAAATTTGTTCGTTTTTCGAGTTTCTTAAATTATTGTTTTTTTATACAAATTTGAACTCAGTACAACTTATATAAAAATTAAAATAATTTTTTATTTTCATTCGAAAGAGATACCATTACATAATATGCATATAACAAGTACTTACGTCTTACACCGTTTATGATGTTCAAACTTCAAACCTTCAGACAACAAAATTGTATAGGTACCTATACTATTTTTTTTTTATTTTTTTTTTTTACGTAGGTTTTTATCTGTGATCGAAATGTATTTCTTAACTGATATTTATAATCAGCGTTACCAATATATTTAGATTTGTATAATAAATGATACTCGTAAATATAATTGTGTGTAATGCGAGAGGGATATTGAGTAGTTTTCTAATATTATATATAATATTATGTAGGTAACTACTTATAATGAGTAATATTACTATAATATTATATGTACCTATATATTCATATTATATTTTTATAGCTGTTTTGCATGAGACCAATATTTATAAAATTCGTGATAATGTAGTTAATATTGAATAATTGTTATTGTTTGCTACGATTTACTTGTGACAGTAAAAACAAATAATATATTATAATATTCATTAAACACTATCCGTGCACATTGCACTATAATAATTGTATTATCAAAAAGTTTCTTAGTTTTTGAATTACAAAAATGTACCTAGTTAAATTTTAACTCGATTACCTATACATATTGACGAAATGTAGACATACGTTTATGTCCATTATCATTATTGTATTAAAGTGTGAAACAATAAAATTAATATAAGTAATATTATTATTATACATTTAGTTAGTTATTTAGTGATGTTTACTTATTATTTGATTATTATTTCCTCAATTATCCACGGATTAATATATTAATAAGTGTTATTATCTCAACTATATGTAAGCACTATACGTTTTATGAGGTGTATATTAGTTAAGTTTATAATAAACATACTCATGATTTGTATAAAATTTAATACAATAATTATCTATACAAATTAGGTAAATAGGTTTTTTGATATGTTTATTATTTTTTACCTACCTTATAATTTTTATTTCGTTTTCCGTAAAAGAGTATTTTTTTAATAGTTATATGATGTACAGTAGTTTATTGAATTTTGAACGAATAGTTTTTGTTTATAAGGATCATATAAGTAAACAATATTATCTGTGGGTACACATGAATATAAAATATATTATTTCGGTTGACTGACACGCATATATATCTACGCATCTAGGGTGTAGCAAAAAATGATGTAATTAACTTTGTAAAAAAGTGATGACTTTAGTTCCTTTATTAATGTAACGTTTATAAAAAAAATATAACTAAAAATATTATAGTATTGGTTATAGGTACCTAAATCAAAAAACAAAATAGGTTTTTAACTGATTAGAATAAAAGTTACTCATCCGTCTGTTCATTCTGTTACACTTTGTATAATGTACAATGTGACATCATATTCTATAAGATGTGATCAATCACGATCGTGAATAATTAATAAAATATATACAAATTTACAAAGGCGGCCAAGTTAATGAAAACAATTAACTGTAGTAAGTTAAGTTAATTCAATTAAATTACCTTCAGTTAAGTTAAAAGTTCACAAAAAAAAAAATTTAACCAGATAATTTTAAAGTTAAAATAGAAAATAAAATTAACTTAACTCAGTTAAAAAAAAGTTTTTTTTCAAGTTACAATACTTCTAAGTCATAAACTGCCCCAGTATTTTGTTGTATACAAATATTTACCAAGACCTTTAACACTGTAAAAACAATTTAATTTTTATAAAATATAATTCGGAAATTAATTACTAAAATCGAAAAAGTGTCAACGAATCAGTATTGTCTAGTTGATTATGTATGACACGAAAACAAAATTAACTTAACTGCACGACAATAATAATTAACTGTAAAAAGTTAAGTTACAACAATAAACATTTTAACTGAATAAGTTAAGAAGTTAAAAACAAAAATAATTAACTAGTTAAGTTAAAAAATGAAAAAAAAATGACTTTTTAACAAGTTAATGCCCACTATTGCAAATTTAACGGCGCGGCTAGAACCATTTGAAGAAACAGTTATAATAAAATCAAAATTTCTCGATAACGTATCATCACGAATACCTATCTTGTTTCCATGGTAGTAGTGTTACGATATTTCTAAACAATATAAATAACTTATAAATTATTCAATTTTGGGCTTTGATAATAATATTACATTATACTATCATATGATATAGCGTAATGGATGTTACCGTTACCAAAGTCGTGATCTCTGTGGACCATAATGTGTTTAGCATCGAGTTGGCGTTCAACATACTCCAGAGGAAAGTGTTCGCCGACAATAAATTGAACGTATTTATTTTAACTCTAGACGTGGACGAAGTAAAAGGAACGGCTGAACATATTAAAAATTGTTGTTTCTCCAACCTGAATGGTACCTATACATAGTGCAGATCGTTAAGGTCTTATAAATAATAAGACTTGCATTTACTTCAAGATGTTGGCATGTGCCTATTAAATAAATAATGGGTATTGTTCTTACTCGATTTTATTGACATACCTATGACATTTGTGAACAACAAAGAAAATCGATCTCCATTATAGTGCTTAATAATTGTACAGGCTATAATAGGTGTAATGATCAATTTAATACTATAACTACTAATCATCATAAAAAAATATACATTGTACTAAACAATTTAGATCGTTTAAAAAGAGCTTACCTATAAGTACTATAATAATTCTTATTATTAGGTACGATATAGATATAACATTGTATGGGAATCGGAACGTTATGTATAAATAATTCTTATTGATTCTGGGATTCTTCTATCACGACAGCTGCTCATATTTTTTTTGTCAACATTTTATATACACTATAAGTTAAACCATCATCGTCGTAGCAATAATAATAATAATAAACCCGTTTGTAGAATTAATCGTGACCGGAGATTGCCACGATGCGTTCCGGAAGGCCGACTATCTCCTGATAATGACCGATTTGAACGCGCCGGATAGGAAAGTTTTCGAATACGTCCAAAACTTAGAGCATGTTTTCAAAAAGGTCAAACATAACGAGCGCCTGTATATTGTATTCTATAACTGCGTCTAAAAAATAGTTGCGAAAATCATTATAACCCCTAATATAATATAATATAATATGATAAAATGGTAACAGGCCAAATCGTTCGATCGACTGGCCAATCCAGATGCCAGGATCGTCGCGATGGGACCGTGCTCCAACACGTGGTTACAGATTTTCGCAGAAGTCGCGACACGCCTGCAAAAGTGCAACTTTACCGGTTTGTCTAGACATCACGTGAGTAAAGCGTTGGGGCTCATCTCACGAAAACTCGACGTAAGTTGATCGTGTATAATATTATCATGTCATAATGATATACAATTAATAATATGCGATAATATCCAGGGCCATCCGGACGATTTGCGGGGCCCGGGGCAGAGTAAATTTGTGGGGCCTAAAATGTCATTATCGTCGGTTGGCAGTTGCATTTATTTAAATATTTAATATTATGAATTATGATATATACCTACCTAGGTATAAGGGGGCTACGCGCAAATATACTTAAAAATATAGTACCTTGTACTTACAATACTATGAATAAGTAAATTAATTAATAATAAAACAGTAAACACGTAATATATTTATACTTAATATAATAATATTGATAAATTAATAAGTTTATAAATATAGTAGGCACCTAATACAATATGAAAAAAAAATTATTTTTTAAAAACACACTTTTCTAAAAAAACAAAAAAATAATGAAAAATTTAAAAGTGTGTGGTATAATATGTCAAGTTTAAGAGCGCCACACACTTTTAAATTTTTCATTATTTTTTTGTTTTTTTAGAAAAGTGTGTTTTTAAAAAATAATTTTTTAATTTTTTATTTTCTACTTTTTAGTTAAAAAAAATTTTTTTACGGATTATTGTATTGTCATCCAAGACCAAGGTCTATACAAATTTTCAGAATTTTTCATCTTCAAAAAGTGCCTCAAATCGAGCGCGCAAGATTTGATCACAGACAGACGTGTAACCAAACTTAAGAAAAGTGTTAAAAAGGTAGACAAGTGGGTACCGCTCTGCTGTACAGTGGGTGTCAAGCATGTCGTTGTAATGGATGTGTTATATTTAAATTACATTGATAAATTATTGTAAACGAAAAAATATTCTGAGCGGAGACATTGTATCAGCCTATCACACTTGTAAAAGTAATCAAATTTAGTAGCTAAAAAAAAATTAACAAAGATCGAAAACGTGGCTTCCTGGGGAACTTTTTTAGTTTGATAGAATTACAAAAACTTGTTGGAAACCTTCTATTAAAATGTCTCAAGTTAGGTATGAAAAAAAACTTTTATGAATTTTGTCAAAATTGGAACTTTATAAGAATATAACAAATAATTGAGCCTATGTATTTTTAAAACTTCCATTAATAAAATATATAAGGAACCTATCATTACATTTTCAAGATTTTTTACTAAATGAAAAAGATTTTATCGAGGATAATTTTAAAAAAATTTAGAAAAATGGAAAAATTTCTGAAGGGCTCAAGCCTATAACTAGCTCAAAAATAGTCAAAATATTGAGAAAATGTTTTAAGGAGAATTCTAATATAAATATTTGTTGAAAATTTCAAGGTTCTACAGTTATGAATTTTTGATATACACCAAAAAAATAAAATCGATTTTTCAAAAATTCATTTTGTATAAAAGTCACCTATTTTTTTGTTTTTCTCAACGCTTTCTAAAACTACTAGAAATTTTTAATTTTGACTCCCCAAAAATACCAACTATAGTTTCACTTTTCTATCAGTAAAGATGCTGATCTAGGAAATCGGAGCACTTTTACTACCCAAAAAGGGCCATACAAAACAGAAAAAAAACACACATCATTGTAAAATAAATACATTAGTCCCTCCACTCAGAATCTAAGCATTTTTTTTCTATAAATATTATAGCTAAGTTGTTGTTTTTTTTTGGGGGGGGGGCAGAGCGCTTTGATGATTTTCATCATTTTCAACTTTGAAAATTGAATTTTAATCATATTAACTCGTTTTAAATGCAATACATTTATTTGACGACTGATGTCAATTAATATAAGTAGGTATAGCCGTAGGTATAGGTAGTAAAAATTACAGCAATTAAGGATATAAAAATTAAAAAATATATAAATAATAATTTTTTTTTTCTCATTAACTTGGCTTTTTTATGGTATCTACAAAAGCGGGGCCTGTCCAACTGGTGAAGGCGCGGGGCCCAGGGCGAGGGCCCCGCTCGCCCTGCCCTAGGGACGGCCCTGATAATATCTATAACATAATATTGATATTTATACATATTATCGACACTCGACGAGTTGTTTTATAACGTTACATGTACATCACACATATTATGTTTGAATACATTAATACATCGACGATTTCGTTATGAAATTTAGCAACGGTTATACGTAAAAAAAAAAAACAGAGCACTCATAGGTAGTACAAAGATGAATAGTATAAAATCTTTCGAAATAGAAATAACAGTACGATTAAATAGCCTCAATAGAATTCCTGTATAGGTAAGACGAAACTTATCTTAAAGGCTTATCTTTCATACTTTAAATGTTGATTATAATATTATTATGTCAGTATATAGACTATAGACCGTATATCCGTCATCTAGTCATACCCGCTAGCAGCTTCGTATCCAACGTAGAATAAAGTGTTTGTTTTTATTGAAAATGAAAATACAAAAAAACACTGCTTGTGAGTCACGGCCGAGACTCGCGAGATATTGAAATGAGAATTAGATAAAACGTATCGAAATATTTGAGATTTATTTTGTAATTTTATTAGCAAAACGCTAACATTTTTCAAAACTAAGGGTTTTAATAATTAACACTACTCGTATTTCAGGGTATATTTGCCTATAGTTTCTATTGTGGTTATTCACTCAGTTATTGGTAGGTACCTATTTATTCATTTGTGAAAAAATAAACACCATATTCTTTGTTAACGACCATCGTATTACAATATTATTGTAAGGTGTGTTTGATCAAATTCTCGAATACATGATCTCGAGAGCCCTCCAAACGCCTATAGGAAGTATTTTTATTTTATTAACATCCGATTTTAACTTTTAATATAACTATCGACAGGAGTCGTTTTTATATTTATCCATCTTATTTTTGCGTTATTACAGATGTATAATTTGTACTTCGTCGTAAATCGTCAAATCAATTAAATTTTCATTTAGAATTCTTTAATAATTTATCTTCGTATTAGGCATGCTTTTTTTATATGGTCGTTGCTAAATTCCATCAATTAATTGTTGCAAATATTAATATTTAAAAAAAAATTTACAGTGTGATATTATTTATAAATATACTTTTGGATTACGATATTCTAGCCATTATATTTTAATGCTTGCGGTATTCATCTTATAATATATAATAAATTATGTATTTACACTTATTATTGTGCAACTGCAGTGCGAAGTGCACGAACTGTCAGACGTATACGTCTGGGGCAAACATTTCTTGGACATTGCCGACGCTAAAAAAAAAACGAAATTCGAATCGAGAAAATATGAATCGCAGTGCACTGTGAAAACGCAGAAAGTTATGGATCTTTTGACTTCAAATTGGATCAAACATTTTTTTACGCCACAGTTTGTACGCACCTTGTACCGCTCGTATATCATAATATATTAGAAACTATTATTAAGAGTTAAGACTGTGGATCATATGTGTGCAAATATTATAAAACTATATATGAAAGTTATTTCAATTTTGATTTTATGAACACAAGTGAAATTGATTTCTGGTCAATGTTGATATTACGCATCGTACCTGCGTCGAAAAAAATAAAATGTATTAAAATTATAATCTTGAATATCATATCTTTGTTGTCTTACTATAATAATAATATTAATTGTACTGTTCACACAATTAATTCATATTTAACACGTTCCAGTATAGCCATTAGGGACGGCTCCGGGCGGCTTCCAAGCTGCGTATTTCTAAAAAATTTTTTACTGTCAAAAACAAAATTACAAAAAAGAAATCATCGAAATTGTCTGAAAATTATCACTTCCCCCCCCCCCCCCAACCATGTCTCTGGAGCCTCTGATAGCTATACGCCTATACTAATTTTTAGTACCTATTACAATTATTATCACCCCACTTGACTTGACACCGACTTTTCACCAAATAATAATATAGGTATAACAATATAATGTATATTATTATGTGTGCGACGTGTATAGGAAGCAGTACAGACCGTCAAGACCTTCAAACATTGTGTTATATCGGCGGTGTGCCATCACATAATCGACTGGTGTCGGGGCACGGGCGACAGGACAGTGTGTATGATGATTGCCGTACATCGACCAGGACACATCAACGACGGAGTTTTCTCATCATACCCGGTGGTCATCAGCGAGTCCGGAAAAATGTCCGTCCGGGTGAGTATGCCTACCTGCAAAACGTTTAGTTTTTCGTTTCTGTTTTTTAGAGTTCCGCAAACTTAAATGTGTAGGTACGCATAGAACAAAATGGAAAAAAATGTGTCAGACTATATAGAATTTTCCTGTGCAGTATACCCGGTATACGCAAGCACATATTATAAGCGTATTTGCAGAGAAAAGTCGATTGAGTTCAACACATCTCGCCCACTTGTCGTACAAAGTGTTGACCCCCCCCCTCCCTCCACACGATATGTATTGTGCTTACTCGAGTGTAACGATTAAGTGTCAAGAGTAGTTCAACCAAGACCTACGCAAACCGTACAAGGTTAACTATGCGAACTTATATTTTTAGTGATAAGTTATTATTAAGAATTTTTTCAAGGTTAATTATACACTTTTTTAGAAAGGGGTAGTTGAAAATGTCATACGATTATATTCAACGTTCGATTTTGATTTAATCGGTTCTTCTCTGCAATTTGGAAAAAAGTTATATTTTTCCAAATATGTAGGTGCCACTAGATGTCAGTCTAATTATGTTTGTCGCCCCAAACAGCAAAAGCCATTGGCACACGTGTTCGCGTCGAATAGGATATAAAATATATTCAGTGGTGATAAAAATGTTTAAAACTGGCAGTTAAACAATATATTTTAACAACACTTCTTTACCACCATTCCATGTACTTGTAAAATGGAAAACGTAATATAAATTATTATTTCAATGCGTGTACCATATTTGTTTTCTGATAAATAATCTGATATTAAATTAGGTATTGTTGTTTTAAATTTATCATTCACAACCGAGAGAAGAATGGTTTAAACACTATACAACTATGATAATATACAATATAATCTAGTTAAGAAAAACATTAAAAAAACCAATAAAATGTGTTACCTATCATTT